GATAATGAGCTTTAACGACTGATGAAGCATAAAAATATAACGGAAGGCAGGGTTTGTGCTTTTTACATCCAGCCCATATAAATACAGCTGGTTTGAAACCAGCAGAGTATAAAGATTAAATGTTCTCATGCTGAAATGTCCTCTGTGTTTGTATGATGCTCTAAGCAGTATGGAGACTTGCCACAGCCAGTTAAAGCCTTTAAAATGTGACAGCAGTGTTTAAAGGCGACCAACAGGTCACACCAGGACTCTGGGCCACGACCTTTCCAAATGAAACAATATTTCCAAAGCAACTGGTGAACACAGTGTCCTGGAGCTGTGGGCCAGAATCTTTAAATGGTCAGATGTCACTATCCGATGAAGTCTCACTGACATCTCTTTTACAGGAGAAACCTGAGAACAAACTGGACTTGAAGAAAATCTAGTCATCACACACACACACAGACTACAACCTTCATAAGCATTAGTGAATGTAGTCCCTCAGAGGGACGAGTGTCTCTAACCTAATCAGCAGCTATTTTCACACTTGATTAATCCTTGAAGCCTTTCTACAATCTGTTTTCTGTTTGATGGTTTCAGCTTCAAGAGATTCGCTGCTTTCTCTTGTCTGACGCTGTATTTATCTGAATGAATGTGGGTTGTGGACGATTCATCAGAACTAACTAAACAGCTTCTTCATGTTTCTTCCACATGGCTGAAACCAGACCAGGGAACACAAGGAGAACCCGACACCTCTTTGTGTATCACCGCACAGAGCACTGTTTGAAATCAGAGCTGAGGGGAAGAATGGTGGGGATCATGGAAGCTGAGAGGGCAGGGGACACTGGGTCTGAGAGAAAAGCCTCCAGGATCCGTTACCCTGCATAAACAACGAGCCACAAGCCTGCGGAGCGAAGGTGGTGGTGAAACTCTGAAGGAATCCGGTGTCACACAGGTGCTGAGACACACAGTTATCCTCTGTGAAATGCTCAGTGACAGTGTGTGCACTTTAAAGTGCACACACTGTCATTGAGCACACAAGTGCACACACTGTTGAATCTTACATGTGTACAAGACAAAAAGGAGCTAATCAGACAAAGGAAGTTCACAGGTACACGCCGGCTGACAGGTTAATGGGCACCTATGGACGCACTGAGAGCTCCTGATAATTAAAAGGCCGTCACCTGTCTGCGCTTTACAGCGTGCACCGCCACCGGGCACCTGTCTGCTAGCAGCTACAGTTCTACACAACCCAGAACCGGGCTGCCTGGATGACTGTAACATGAGGAGGAAATGTCGATCATTTCACAGAAAGGGTCGACACCGAACACACCAGTCACATAAAGAAGCATCTCAGCCCCATCGGATTCCTGCAGACAGTCCTGGAAATGTGCTTCATTATTTATTATGAATCTATTTTTTGATTTGATCACAATGGAACAGCAAAGAGGAACAAACACTGCAGGTAATGGGGATGATTACTCAGTGATGTATTTATTCTGTAGGATGTTGATGTTGGTGAAGGTAAATAAAGTGTTTTAAAACCTTTTACTCCTGTTTGGCCCCTGATGAAGCATTTGATTCATTCTAATGTTGCTAACATCCTCCGTCAAACCGAACCCACCAGTAAAATGTTCACTGTCAGTGCCTCGTTTTCTGATAAAGTATGTGATCCTGCAGTTTGACAACCACTGGTGGTGACTCCAGCATCATTAAACTGTTTTATACACAGGTTGACTTACAGAATCTGTCAAAAACCATGACCCTAAACATAACCGAAGTCTGGGACACACTCGTCTTGACAACAATGGAAAATGGCTACATTTAAGGAATCGTGTTGTCAGAAGTCATGTGCTTTATTGTATGTTGTTATTGAAGCTGCATTAAAAGTTATGGCACAAAAAGTAAGTTGTCAGCCAGAGGAGGTGTGCACGTTCATGCCCAGTCATATGAAGCTTCTGTATTGAGTTTAGTTTCTTTCAGACATGGCAATAAAAATAAAACCACTACACCTGGCCAAGAGATATTTAGGAACATGTTCTAACCACAACTTATGTTTCTATACTGAAACTTGAGATCACATGCATTAGGCAGCGAGCTTTGAAGGAGCTGGTAGGTGGACGTTGATACCTTTGGGCTGCGCCAGGCTAACTGTTTCCCCTTGTTCCCAGTGTTTATGCTAAGCTAAGCTAACTGGCCGAACCTTCATATTTAATTTGGTTTTATTTGTACAGCGCCAAATCACAGCCAAAGTCGTCGCAGGACACTTTACAAAGTAAGGTCTAGACCTTTCCATTATTATAGAGGAACACCCAGCAAATCCCCCTTGAGCAGCACTTGGCGACGGAAACCCAGACCCCGGCTCTTTGTGGCGGCCTTTGGCCTCGACCAGTCGGGGCGAGTGGATAGAGAAGAGAGCAGCATCAGGACACAACGCGTTGAATATACTGAACATAACAATGACAAAGATCTCATCAAATTCTCAACAAGAAAGCAAATTATCTTGTAAACACAACAGCTGGCTTTCCTGCATCTTCATCATCATTAGTGTTTGTTTGCTCTCTGGAGGTCAGAGGTCAAAGGCTTGTAACAGGGTTAGCATGAACAGCTAGTGAATCTGCTTGTGCATAATCAATAACAGAAATGAACTTTACCGAGTGACAGTGCAGGTCAACTGTAGTGAAGGAGACAGAAACACACAGTCTGAGATGTTGGCTTGTCATTTAAAGAACAACCTAATCTCCAGAAATAAATGACTGAGGGAAAATTAGATTTAGAGGAGAAATACACTTGTAGCTCTGTGGCCTTAATGTGGTCATGAGCTGAGCGATAACCCAGCTCTGTCACTGCTGCTACTGTTTCATCTCACAGCAAACACATGGTCTGCAAATGTGATGAACCGTCTGATTCAAAGGAACGTCCTCAGGAGTTATCACAGCACCTCTGTGGTAGATCTGCCAACCAAACCATAGCAAACATTAAAAAAAATTTAGCCACTGCCCTACAGCGGCTAGTTAGCTACTGTAACTACCCATGTGACTGCCACTACGTTGCCAGGCTGGTTGAGATCTCCGTCTCCAGCACAGGTTTTATGTTTCCAGCTGTCTGGTTGTGAAACTAGCAACATGTAAAATGTCTTAAATACAGACTTGATGGTTCGAGCTATGGCTGTTTATGTTTACTGTGAAGCAGAGATGTAAAAAGCGATGTCCAGTAGGAACACAGGGCTGTTTCTCTATGAAGACCGCCATACGTCCCCTTGTTTACACGGGGTCGAGCTGTTAATTGAGCACATGTTCATAAATTATCAAGAAGCCAGCTGCGTCATGCGTGTGTTGAGGGGTGCAACAGGAGATCAAGGCAGGCGGCGGTGATGTAATGTGGGTGTAACAGAGAGACGGCAGGAAGAAGTGAAGACAGGCGTCCCTTCCTGTTGCACTCCCCCACTGTTCTCCTGAATGGTTATGAGAGCGCGCTTACATTCATAAAAAGTCTGCTTCTATTAGCAACAAATGAGAAACCACTGAGCCATTACAGAGACATCATGGTGTTAAGATCATGTTTCTGAGGACTCTGAAATGAGAAACCACTGAGCCATTACAGAGGCATCACGGTGTTAAGATCATGTTTACAACTTCCTGCCACATAACAAACCATAAAGTTCATCAGACACAGCAGAAGCTCTGACTGCACACAGACTTCAGCCTGCCACCAACATGTGGCGTGAGGCTGACACACGTTTCATCAACTCTCTCTTCAACTCTTCAACTTGTCGCTCTGTGAGTGAGACCGGCCGTAAAAGGACGTGAGACGACAAAAAAAAGAGATTTAATTTCATTATGCTCCTTCATCTTCTGTCCTCTCCTCGTCAGACAACATGACTGGCTGCCATCACACGGGAGGGAAGCAAACAGCCTCAGTGTGGTGGTGCCGAACCATTCAGGGCCTTGGAAACCAGTGGCCAAACTTTAAAACCAATTCCAAGCAAGATGGGAAGCCAGTGTACAGATGTGATGGTCTCTCTTACTGTTGGTTAAAGTCTGGCTGCTGCTGTTCACTGACTGGGATAGTCGAGAAAAGAAAAGGTAGGGACATGACGTCTTCTCATCATCGAGTGCCGCATACGGTCTGACGTTCACAGGGTTTCTTGGGTGGAAAAACAGCTTTCCTGATTTTGGACCACATGCACTGCCCCCACCCCTTAGTATGGAACAATATGTGGCGGTAGACAAACCTGCAGGACCTCATCAGAAGGTAAACTGTCTACACTCACCATGATACGATCATCTTGGAGGCCCCTTGTTCAACAGTGACAACTTGTGTAAGAAGCCAGAAATGCCCAGGCTGCAGCCGCCTCGCTTCCTGTTTGGGGACCAACGTCTCCACTTTTAAATGCTACAGATTTGTACATTCACACTCATTAATATGCAAAAGCTGGTTTTCTGTATGTGTGATGTGTTGGCTGGTACCCGCCTCATTGTGTTTTCATGAAAACTGTAAAGTGCATATTTACAAGCTGGTGCGACAAGCGAACAGAGGGAATACGCA